AGGCCTGGCTCCGAACGTCTCACGTAGGACGGCCATGGGGCTGGCTCGGGAGAACTGCTGAGAACTATTATTATTATTATCTGGCTCTAGGTTTGCATCTGGAAGGGGAGGCCTGAGACTCATCTAGCCCACACGGGCAAGAAGCTCCTCCAATGCGAGGGGCTGGTGCGGGTTGGAAGGGGGACAGGAAGGTTTGGGGCTGTAGCTCGTTGGTGAGGAGAGGAGGAGACAGGCATTCCAGACAAACCCGGGAGCGTAAACGTGAACTGCCGTCAGGTGGGACCGATGGAGAGGAGGAGAAAGCCAAGGAAGGTCAGGAAGAACCTCGTTGGCCACAGAGAATACTTCCATCTTTGTTATTTAGACTCCGGGCTAACATTCCTTTGGGAGAATAACCCCCCAGCAGGACCCCACGTTCTCTCCCCCACTGGGCACCCCTTGGCAGTGCATGTCCGTGAGAGGCGAGGGCTCTGGGAAGTAATGAAATGAAACTTAGTCATTTGCTGGCAGGGTGAACGTGTAATTAACCACCCAACTCCAACACTTCAGGGTGACGAGAGCACCCACGAACAATTACGCCGGACACAATTTGCCCAGACCTGTCTTGGGCAAACCGGAATGTTCAGTCACCCCTATGTTTTCAGCCTGTGTACTGGGCTATTGCAATGGGGTCTTCACTCAGCTCATTCTTTTCCCCAGGAACTCCAGTCATTAAATGTAATGACTTCCCTTTGACAGCCCACGATGAGTCTTGAAAGTAGAGCTAGCATCCTTCTGTGCATTCCTTGTGCAACTCCAGAATCTTCCCCTTCCACCCTCATGTATAAAAAAACAAACCAACCAAGCAGAACAACAAAACCAAAAAGCCCTCTGTTCTTGCTTAGGGCGCCCAGCTGGGTCCCTGCTCGCCCCTTCTCCCCAGCCACTGGCATCCACCTGCAACCACCTCCACACATTCCAGCTTTGGCGCCTGCGTGCGAGGCTTCCTCGCTGCCCCAGGCCCCGCCGTCCCTTTGGTCGGTTCTGAAATCGAACGTGCGCGCCCAGGCAAGCTTCAGCGCCCATCTCCTCCTGGCTGCCCCCACCCTCCCTCCCGCCCCAGACCTCATGGCGTCCCCCTCACCCACTGCCATGAGCACACCCCCCGCCGCCCCCTCCTGTCCATCCCCCGGACCACCCGCCCTTCAGCGCCTTCGCTGTCCCCGAGCACTGCGGTGCCGGTGAAGGTTTAACCTGCCCTGTGGGGAAGTCCCGGGGGGGGGCCTGCACGCACGTGCAGACATTTATTACAAACGGACTGATACGGAGCGTGGGTGCCACGCACCTCCCACGTAATGAAATGCACAGGTGCTCTTCGTGGATTCCATCAGGCCAGCGGATCCCCACGGCATGCTTCCGCTGACCTTTCCCAACCCGCGTTCTCTGCGGCCAGCGTAAGGTGGCGGCGGCCACTCAGCCGGCATTTGCCAGATGGACTGCCGCCCCGCCCACTCGCTCTCTTCTCGGCGCACTGAGTTTCTCGGTAAACTGATGTGACCACTGTGGAACTGTGTCTCGCCCTCGTACACACTGTCTGCTCAGCCGACACTGTGCGGCTTCAGCAGGACGGCGGCACCCCACCCGACATCCAGTCCTCGGGTGACGTCGCTCTGTCCCCATGTCGATGAGACGCCACGGGCACCCAGTGGGTGTAGACCAGCCAGCCCGTGGTGAAAGCAGTCTCGGTGTGTGCCGTTGCGCTTACAGCCGCAGAACCGACGGGTGACGATGTTCAGTGAGGACGTAGTGTCCGGCTATCCCCCCGCAGAGAGAAACCCACGGGAATTCCTCGAGAGCAGACGGCAGGACAACATAGCTCAGTAGGTCGAGATTGGTTTTGCATATTTACCATCTATATGTTTTTTTTATGTAACTTGTTGAATAGTTAAGTTTATCTAACGCAATGGTAAAGAATGCTGGCGTTTAAAAGTGGCTCACAAAACTGCTTCAGATTTAACCATCGGTTCGTATGAACCGGCCAAATGGGTGCCAACACACCGCTGGGACCCCTCCCTGTTAGTCTTCCCCACCCCCACCCCCGTATCTTACAGATCAGCCGAAAAGGACACGTGCACTTAGCCTTCTCCATAGCCCACTGGGCAAACACCACGAGGGGGAGTGGTCTAAGCTGTCCCCCCATTTTCCCCGAGTGAGTTCACGAAGAAGAACTTCTCGGGAAACAAGGATCACAGCCAGTGAGGACTGGGCATACGGGAGGAGGGGGGTGGTGTGTGTGTGCAAAAGTGGGTTCGCGGTTTGAGTATAATGTGTATTCTTGTAGGATTTATTCGTACTCCAACTGTAACCTGCTTTTGCCCACCCCTGTAAAGCGGGTTCACAGCTGGCTGGACCCCGGCCCAGCACCGAGGGGCCCGCCGCCTCTCCTGGAGTTTCCACACTCCCGGGCCTCAGAGGCCGAGCGCCGCTCGTGAGGACGGGGAGGACGATGCAATCCAACCAGGCGGCTCTCGAATGTGTCCTGCGGGCCAAGGCTGGCCGTCCAGAAGGCCCCCTGGGAAGGCGACAAAACCCCCAGGGCTACTATTACCTGCGCCGACACTACCTCGTCTGTGCACAGGAAGCCATGTGCAGACACCACCTCACCCTCTAATCTCACGTCTAACCAGGTAACCGAAGTCGTCCTCAGCGTCCCAAGAAGTCAAGGCGACTCGCTGCTTTGCCGAGACCCCCGGCGCCCCTGCCCACCCCCAGCATGGACCTAGCAGTGGACACCTCGGGCTTTTCTGGAACTGGGAGCCCTGCTCTGAGCGGCTGTCTCTGCTAGGATCGACCCTGCCTGGGCAAGCTCAGTGCTGCGACGAGCCAGTAACGGGAACCCACGCAGGAACTCTAGCAAGGGTAAGGATCCCACACGGCTCCTAGGGATTCTGCACATTGCCTGTCTGGGACTGGAGTACGTGGGAAGAATGAGACATAAATAATGAAAAAACAAGAGCTCCTGAAGTTGCCCTTTCTTCCTGGAGGAGGTAGACCTCGACTTTCCACGGGTGGCTTCCAGTACAAACAAGACTTTCACTTTGGAGAGACATGAACTTGATCAAGGCTCTAACACCAAGGTGTTTCATTTAGGCTTTGAGTTCAGGGGGCCCAGTTGGGAGGAGGAAGATGGTGGCCAGCTATCCGTAGGGCTCAAAAAGTGGGCCCCGATCTCCTTTTCTCCTGTTTCTGGAGCAGGTGAGCCTCAGTGGGGAGCTTCTCAGTGTGGCCTCCCCCTCTCCTGGCCACGCTGCCGGGGGAGGGGGCCGCCCAGAAAGCCGACCCCAATCTGTCCCTTGAAACGGCCTCTCCGGTGTCTGACCACGCCAACCAGTCTTAAGTGTAACTAGCGCCATCGTGGTCGAGTCAACTCAAACACGGAGAAACGACAGCCAAGGCGAAGTCCTGCTGTGCGGGAGGTTCGCAGGTCAAGGGGCCATCCTGGGCACACCTCCCGACGCCACCTGGGCGCTCCAGTCCCAGCAGGGGCCCAGATCCTGTCCAAGGAAGGCCTGCTCTCCCTCTCCCTGAAGCCCCACCCGCGGGCTCTAGCAGGGACACCTTCCTGCCGGGAGGGAAAACCTGGAAAGCGGTCTCCAAAGAGGGCATTAGCGGCATGATGTGTGTACACAGAGGGCTGCGAGGGGAGCCCGCTAGTCTGAGCTCTGGTGGTGCAGTCCAGGGGGTTTCTGCACTTGGCCTGAAGCAGTCGTTTCCGAAGGGATTTGTGTGTGCAACCCAGGGGCGGGAACAGGATGGAAGGGGAGGGTTTTATCAGTTCTACACTCAGGGCTTCAATTGTATCTTCTAGCCCTGGCTGGCGTAGCTCAGTGGACTGAGCTCGGGCTGCGAACCAAAGTGACACAGGTTCGATTCCCAGTCAGGGCACATGCCTGGGTTGCAGGCCATGACCCCCAGCAACCGCACATTGGTGTTTCTCTCTTTCTCCCTCCCTTCCCTCTCTAAAAATAAATAAATAAAATCTTTTTTTAAAAAAAAAAGAAAGGGTCCCGCTGCTGGACGGGCCGAGGGAGGGTGGGGGAATTGGAAAGCTGAACTCATCTTCTGGAGTCTAAACTGATAAACGCTAGAATAACCTATTTCCTTGTGGCTACCCTAACTCTTCGGACATGGCCTTGGTTGGCGAAAGGGTCAGCAGCGAAGAGACTGGACGTCATCCTGGTGTGTAAACGTGCATTTTAACTCTCCTTCAGTGACCCTAGGTCACTTCTGAGGCCTTTTGGGAGAACAGCAAACCCGTAAACCCTCGGGTCCACAGCCACGGAAAACGAGGACTCCTCCCCCAGAAAGGTGTGTGACTGGCTGACAGAGGCCCAAGTGGCTGCAGAGACCACCCCGCACCACCCCCCCCAGGGCCTGCTCAGTGACCTCCCAGCCAGGACCCTCCTAACTCGCCCTTCCGGTACCCTGACCTTCGCACTGTCTGTGCCGACACGAGACTGAATGGCCCAGGGAGCACCATACAGAGTGTGGGGTTCAGACACTCGGAAGGGGCGGCGCTGCGCCCCTGGGCTGTCCATCATCCGGGACGCTACTTGTCCGTAATGCCAGGGGCCTACGGTCTGGCCAGAGACTGCCCCTCCAAAGGGAACCCCAGATTTTTTTATTTATTTATTTATTTAGAGAGGGAAGGGAGAGAGAGAGAGAGAGAGAGAGAGAGAGAGAGAGAGAGAGAGAGAGAGAGAGAGAAACATCAATGTGCGGTTGCTGGGGGTTATGGCCTACAACCCAGGCACGTACCCTGGCTGGGAATCGAACCTGGGATACTTTGGTTCCCAGCCCGCGCTCAATCCACTGAGCTACGCCAGCCAGGGCGGAACCCCAGATTTCAATGAACCACAGCACCGCAGCCGACAAGGTTTAACTCCCGTGATGGCGACCCATTTCCTCTCAAATCCTCATAAAGAGCTTGCTCTGTACAGTTAGAAAAGACAGACACCAAACCATTTAAACATAATTTATGTACATTTATGGCTTTTACACAATAATAGCAAAGATTGTTCTTGTATCCGTAAGTACATCCGCATCATCAGGCACTTCTCAGAGAGTACTGGAGCGGGGGTGGGGGGCCCCGCACCGTCACTCAGCTCAGGGCGCCGGCCGCAGGAGGGCGGGGCTGGGCCCGACAGGGCGGGCACGGCCCGTGCCGGCCCCACGGCCAGACCACACGCCCCCCCCCCCCGAAGGAGGCCCCGGGGCACGCCCCCGGCTTTGTCTGCACAGATCCCTCTGCATTCTTTATTGAGTGATGACTTGCAAACTAAAATCACCCGAGAAGCTTCTCATGTGAAGGCCTGTTATAAATTAAGAACGCCGAAGAGCTGACTATAAAAATGCCGGGGGCGGGGCTAAGGTGACACAGGCCCAGGAGTGGAGCGATCTGAACGGGCTCCCTTGGGAGAACCACCCCCCCCCGGGGCGCCCTCCTCGCCTCGGAGGCCCCACCGACCTGCTGCTCCCTGGAGTGCAGTGCGCGCTGATTGACCGGGACAGCGGACGTCTGTCCCGGCGGAACCTTCCGTGCCACGTGCGTACGACCTACGTACAGTCCACACGTCTATGTTACAGAAACAATACTTTATATTTAAAATATCTGAAGCGCTCTATGATACAATATGCTTTTAATAACAGTACAAACCGGGGGAAAGAAATCAAACAAGGCTGCAGAGGTGGCATCGTCTGGGCATCTCACAGAGCAGTCGTGTACAGTAAAACTGGTCGTCTGCTCCCTCCGGGTCGGTCGGTCTTCGCACAGAAAAAGCACTCAGAGGTCACATGATGTTTTCACACTAGACAAGGGGCCTTCCACCCGAGTTCGCTGTACCCCGGAGAGCTAGCCACCCGGGGTTCATGTCCGGATTTCAACACGAGAAAGAAACACCCGAAGGAAAAGAAGATATTTACACGGACTGAGGAGGAGGAAAGACCTTCAGATGGTGATGTTGGCTGTGGCCGTCTCCGAGGCTCATGTGTGAGGGCAGGGGCGGGGGGTGTCCTGGGGCGGCGGTGGTAACAGAAACCGAGTAGTTGGCACCCACGAGGTCCGTCCCACGGGCGGGAGGCACCACTGAGGGGATGGCAATTCTACGACCAGGTGTGTCTCGGAGCGGACAGCGACACGGGGGTTGTCTGACAACCCTTCGCCACCACAGAAGTGACCGTGGGAAGCTTACCCCAGGGCCGGCCCCCTGGAGGAAATCCACCAAGGACACTTCTGCTCTTGTTACACATGTATGAGAAAAAACTAAGCCAACGGAGATGCCATTCGCAGATGAGACAAAGCAAATGTGGCTGGGGCTAAGCACACAGAAATCAGATCAGAGCCCTCTTAGTCCGGCAAGGGGAACGCTTCTGTTCAGCTGTTCCTTTCCTGGTGCTGTGACTCGGGGCATCCACGGGACCAGAAAACACCAACGCTGCAAGTGGGCCTCGAGGCCAACGAGCCTGGTCTGTCAGTTACAGGTGAACGGAGAATATTACAACGTAATGATCAGGATCATAGTTGAGGTTGCTAAGAGGCTAAAGAAATTCTTAACTTACACAAAGGCTTTTAAGAATTCAAATATACAACTCAAGAGCTGGTTTGCTGATGTCCAGATGGATTGCCCCGGGTTTTCAGCGAGCTCCTTCCCACGGGGCAGCGTCTACACTCACGCACACAGAGCAGCCCACCCGTCGCCCAAGTCCTGTCTCTAAGCCACCACCCCCCCATGGACTCTCCACAGTGTGCTCCGCGATCTGCAGGACGGAAGGACGGAAGGACGGAAGGACAGAAGGACAGAAGGAAAGAGGGATGAGGTGTGGGGGCTGACAGAAGCCTTCAAGGCCAGGCTACGAAGACCCACCTCTACCCGGACCAGAGTAAGAATGCAGCACTGTGAGGGGAAACTTCCGGTGGAGCTCAGCTCAGAGTGGTGCCGACGGAGCGCCCAGCCTGAGACAGGGGTCCTGTTTCGGGCGCGGGTCTCTCCCTTCCTGCACGACAGACACTACGAGGCCGCCCGGGCGGAGCTGCAAGGACGAGGACGCAGCGCTGCGTGGTGCGCTGAGCTCACGGAGGAACGGCACATGTGACTTCTTTAGAACACGTACATAGAAACATACCGAGTTCTCCTCAACTGGAAACACAAAAACGTCCTTCACTATACATACACCCCTCTCCTGCCAAAACCAGGGCCAGAAGCATTGAGTAGGCAAGTACTAATTACAGTGATTTTAAGATTAGTCACAGACATCACCAAGCGGCATCCCCAAGTGTACAAACCAGTTGAGCACGTACAAAATTAGTACTAATCCAGTTAGAATACAAAATGAAAATTACGGATGCTGTCTCAAATATCTGGGAGTCTGTAAATTTACAAGCAGTATATTATAACAAAGTAGACTCTAGTTTTAAGAAAACATTACAGTTCAGCATCTATTCCAAAAATGATCAAGTCCCAACAGTAACATCAAAAATCTGGAAATTAGAACCATTCGTATGTTTGTACAAATTTGCAAATAACAAAATAAACAGACAAAAAAAAAATAGAAAAGACCTGTACAAGGCTGGCATTTACTCTATTTTTTTTCTTTCCCCAAAGAGTCTGACAAGTCCGCGGACGCAGCAGGCTGCCGACAGGGTGTGGGTCCTCGCGTGAGGGACACGGCGGCGCGAGCGGGTCCGAAGCTGCGCCCGCAGGTGCTGGGCGGAGGGCCTGGTTCTCGGGGATCCGTCAGTCCGGCAGAACACGGGGGGGCGAACAGAAGTTTAACTTATTAAGGACGTGAGACCATCACAGTAGTACAAAAAAAAAGAGTATACACTTTCCTTGGACCGAATGGCTATTTAAAAAACAACACACACACAGAGACAGTTCTGCGGCTACCGCGTATGTACAAAACTTGAGCGCGTGCCAGGACCCGCGGGTCCGCCCCGCAGGTCCGCGGCGTGGCGAGTTTGGCACTTGATCGTGGCGGGGCCTCCGGCGGTCCGTGTCCGCGGCGGCCCGCCCCTGCGAGCACGGGGCAGACATCCCGCACAGGAAAGTGTCTTCGCTGCCAAGTCTGACGAAAGGAAAAAAAAAAAACATTTTTTTTTGTCAGTGTTTTTTTTTTTTAATCAAGAAAACGAAAAGATGGGGTGACGGACATCTTTGGACTTCTTCTCAGCTCCTGCTGCCGGACAGTCTGAAGCACTTAGACTCGTGGCCTAAGAGGAGAGAAAACACACGCACACCGTAAAAATGCAGCCAAACTAAAGTCCACCCAGCTTCACCTATCACAGGGACAGACAGACACTGGTAGGAGAGAGCGGAGCTCTCCCAAACAGCTCTGAAACCACTCCTGGGGGTGGGGGGGGGGAGTTTCCACCTCACAAAGCCCACCAGCACTTGATCTCCATCCCACACGTGCGTCTACTGAAAAGTGCCAGAAAGACGCAGCTGTCGAACTGGCAGAGAAAACCCTTAAAGCAGTCAAAGGCAGGCTCCACCTTCCAACTCCAGGGGAAAGCGTGCACGCTGTAACAAGGGTGGGAAGACAGCTAATGAAAGCTGCCTCTCTGCACCGGGCAGCCAGCCGGCACCCTAGCAGCGAGCCCTCGCCGTGGAGGGGACACGTGGGCGAGGCGCTCCTCCGCTGGCCTGAGTTCGGACCCCAGGTCCCGGGCTGTCACCGGGGTGGTCTTACCTGCCCGCCGACCCACTCCTAGCCGGACACCCAGCTGTGCGTCGTCGTCTTGACGCCGTGCGGGAAGTTCTGGCTGGGCAGCACGTTGTCGAAGTTGAAGTCCAGCGTGTCCCCGTCCATGAGGTCGTTCCGGATGATGGACTCCATGTCGCAGTCCAAGCGCTCGACGAACATGCCGTCCAGGTCGCTCGGGAGCTTCTCCTGGTGGAGGAGGCCCACCCTGCCGTAGCCGTTGCAGCTGCCGCCCGGGGAGTAGCCCCCGAGGGCGCTCATCTGCACGGCGTGGGGCAGAGGCACTTGCAAGGCGGCCTTCGCCGGGGCCAGGCGGTTCATGCCCGAGCTGTGGGGCATGGCGTTCACCGCGTGGGGCAGGGCGCGCCCATTGACCACGGACGCCGGCTGGGCGTGGCCGGGGTGGCTGTGGGAGCCGGGGCTCATCATTTTGTTGTGAGATGCCTGGCCGCCATAGGCTGGCATGACCGAGTTAGGGCCCATGAGCACATTCTGGCTGAGGACCCGGCTGCTGGGCTGGGCCACCCCGCCGTCGACCGGCGCCATGATGTCGTTATGGGGAGGGGAGTCGGACGTGAGCAGCTCCTTCAAGAGCCCCGGCGCACAGCTGTACTGGCTGATCCCGCCGTAGGCCGCCTTGCTGTCCGGCAGCGCCTGCATCGCCATCGGGGGCAAGGGGCTCATGCCGGCCTGGCCGTAGGTGTACTTCTGGTAGTTGGGGCTCGGCGAGCTCAGGCTGGTGCTGGGCGGGGCGAACGAGTAGCAGGGCGCCTGCTGCATCAGGGCGCCGGGGGAGGACTGGGTGGAGGCGGTCAGCGACGTCGGCGGCGAGAGGAGGTTCAGGTTGTCCAGGAGGTTCTCCATGTTCTCGGGGCTGCCGATCTCCGACAGGCTGGGCAGCGTGGAGGCCATCTTGGCGGCGGACGGCGGGTAGCCCATCGGGTGCAGGTCCCCCTCCCCCAGGTCGTCCTGCTCCGTCATGATGGGCGAGAGCCTCCCGCTGACAGTGCTGGCGTTGGAGCTGGTCCGAGGGCGGAAGGTGCTCCAGGTGTCGAAGTCGTCGTTGCTGTGCGAGCCCGGGCTGGCGGGCCACTTGGAGAACTGAGAGCCGGGGCTGTCCCCCGCGCCCTCCGCGCCAGGCTGCAGGGAGGCCTTCTTCTTGGCCGCCCGGCCGCGGCTCTTGGAGAACTTGCTGTTGTTGTCCATGGAGGCCGCCCGCCTGCGGGGGGACTTGCCGCTCTTGCCCCCCTCGGGGTTCAGCATCCACCACGAGCTCTTGCCGGTGCCCTCGTTCTGCACGCGGATGAACTTGCTGTGCAGCGACAGGTTGTGGCGGATGGAGTTCTGGAAAGCGAAACATCGCGTTAGATGCACAGCGCCTCTCCGGCTGCGTGGGATCGCCCCCCACCCCCCGCCCACCCCGTATGGTCCGGGTGGCCCGGGGCCCCCACCCACGCCAGTGCAGGGGAAACTGTGTCTTCACGGGGGGGACAACATGAACACACGCTATTTAACGCCTCTTTCCGCCCCGCCACCCGCGACACCGCGCCGATCCTCCCTCCCCGGGCAGCGCGGGCCGTCTGCTCTGGGGGAGCTCCGCGTCACGGGGCCGCGCGGGGCGGGCAGGAAAGAAGGACACGAAGCGGCACGTGTCCTCGGCCAGACAGTGGAAGCCCGGAAACTCCGAGACTGGGATGCATTTCCACCCTTAACAGCCCACGAGGCAAATGCATACAAGTGAGTAAGGAAAAACTGGGTCTTTTTTTTTTTTTAAATTTAGAAAGCTGAAATTCCCAACAAAAGAAAAAAAAATTAAATTCCGGTGTCATCTGCCACCCCTCCCGCCCCAGAACCACCAGTGGTACGCATGCACCAACGGACCCATGGACACAGCCTCAGAGGTCACGCTCCACCCGGGAGGGGACAGGACGGGGGCAGGGCAGGACCAGGGCGCAGGCGCCCCGCTGCCAGTGTGGCTCTGGGCCGCGAGAGCCGCGGGGCAATTCACAGAGGAAGGTCCACCTTCTTTTTTTTTGAGCGTTCGGGGGCTCTGCCATGCACTGGCTCCACCGCCTCACGGGGCTGCTTGGCCCCCGCGCGCCATAAGTTCCCCGCAAGCAGCAGAGGGAGATGTGACCGCATGGGGCTGTCGTGCGGATTCAAGGAGGTACCGTGCCTGAGAGGCTCCTCGGTGTCTGACACACGGCAAGGGTCGGTGACAAGAATGTCTTAGGTCCCAACCTCGGGGACACACGTCTAGGCCCCATTTCCTTCCTCCCATCCACTGGGGTGCGCGTAGGAACCTAGAGGTGTTGTGAACGCAAACCCACAACTCTGAACACACACACGGAAGGGGCTGGGAACAGCCTCCAGTCCCGGCAGAAGCAGCGAAAGCACGCCGCCAACAAGGAAGCCCTGTCCGACCATCCCCCGCCCCCACTCCCAGAGCCCCCAGGGGACACGTGGAGAGGGCGCAGGGGGCTCCCGAGACGGAGGGCCTTGTCCCGCAGCTCTCCCCACCAGCACAGCACAGGGCAGGGCAGGGCACTCGCGGACCGCCCCCACCCGCTCACAGAGCAGCGTCTGCTGTCGGGACCTGAAGACCCTGGGCCCCGGAGGGTCTCTCCGGAGTCCTGGACCCCGGGGAGCAGGGCAGAGCACACGGCCCCCCACCTCTCCAGCTTCCTCTGCCAAGTGAGCCCAAGGCTCAGCGGGCCGACCCCCTGGACCTGCCACCCCTGCCCCCCGCCCACAGAAAGGCTCTGGCTGGGTTTGTGGTCACCCGGGGACGCAGCCGCAGCGCCCACATCCTCATGCCAGCGACATGCCAGCCACTGCTCCAGAGCGGGGGCTGTGCACAGCAGGACGGGGGGCTCCACGGAGACCCGGGGAGCTCGAGTTGTTTCTCATGGAAAGAAGCAAGAAAACAGAATGGGGGAGGGGCAGGGGGTCCCACTTTCTGGAAGGAGATTTAAAAGGCAGAGTGAGGCCAGACAGCCAAGGCCCAGAAGTCCACATTTCCCACCCCCTCGGACCCCCTGCACTGCACTCCACCGAGGGCTGCACCGTGGCAGCCACGCCAGCCCCGGGCCAGGGCGCAGAGCGGGGCCAGGCCAGGCCGGGCCGCGCACGGGGTCTCCTCCCGCCTGGACGCGGGCAGGTGTGTCGGTGAACCTCGGCGTCCTTCTGTCCCCAGCCCTCCTCTCCTTCCACCCCGGGGGTCTGTCCCCACACCCAGGAGTCCAGCAGTGGCCGAGGACTGCGTTCTCCTCATGTCCTACTCCACGTCCATGTCTCTCCCTCACGGGGAGGTTTTATTTACATTCACACTCACACACACACACACGCACACACACTCACACACTCACACTCACACACTCCCACAGCCACAGCCTCATCTGCTGGGCCCAGCAAGTTCCAAACCACTCCTCCAAGCAGCGAGCCTGGCCCGGGGGCAGAGACCAGGACAAGGCCGGTACTCGGACCCGGCGACGCACTCTCCGCACCAGTGCGACGGCCTTGCTCTCGGAACACAGCAGACACCCAGAGAAGCCACAGTGAAGAAAGTTCCAGAGAAAAGGAAGCCTGACTCCTGCCCCTGTCCCATTCGGTTAACGACCCAGGGGGAAGACCTTCCTGGATAGTGGCAGCATCCTGGCCGCCCCCACTGACCCACCGACCAACCGACCGGGGGAGGAGGGCGGGGGGGCTGCACGGCATCCATAATCAGATCATCTGCCACTGCGACTGGGGGACATTTTTGATAACGCGGCTGAGGCGCAAGGATGACGTTCGCTCACTCGGATGGGACACTCACTCACTCACTCACTAATCAGACTCACACACACAGAGAAAAGGCCCCACAGCAGCCCCTCACTTATCAGAACATTATGCCACATGTTTTTCTAAGAGGACATTTGAGGTCGCTCTTTGAGTAACAGAGCTGTCTCCTAACTTTGCCAACAATTAAAAAAAATTTTTTCCGAACAGGAAAAGGTTTTCTGTGCGGGGCCTGTTACATAAATTCCTGTTTTTCACAGAGCCAGCGGGGCATTAAAGCAGCTCTGATTTCCAGGGGGTGGGGGCAGGGCTGCTGAATGGGGGCATCTCGTGAAAACTGCGTGTCGCTGTGTCGCGGCGTCGCGTCTGCGGGTCTCCGGTGGCCCCGGCCGAGGCCGGAGGAGAGTGAGGCTCGCCCACGGAGCCACGCAGCAGAGCCACGCAGCAGAGCCACACGCACGGCCACATGCACGGCCAGTGCGCGCTGCGGGAGGACGGGGAACTCACGCACTGCACCCACCTCCCCAAACCCTGAGCTTCCGCGTGGCGCCGGGGGAGGAAAAGAGGGAGGAAAAGACGGGTCGGCACTTCTCCTCCCCTCCGGCTGTGCTTCTCTGCGGCCCTGGCTTTCCGCTAACGCTGAGCTGGCTCGCCTTCCTCCCCTCCCCCAACCGAACACGCCTCCCTCTGCCACCAGCTCCCGGGCCCCGCCCCGCCGCCTGCAGGCCCCGCCCCGGCACGCGGTGCAGAACGGTGTTCTCGGGGAGCCCGGTCCGGCGAACTCCACGGGTCACGTGGGGGAAGGGGGACCCTGGACACGACGACACGCGCTGGCCTGTCCCGCCCGCGCTGCTGGCGGTCTCTAGCTCTTGGGCGCCCCGCTCTGCGTGCTCTGCAGACCAGAGTCCCAGCCCCTTCAAGGGCGAGGGGCTCGGGGTGGTTTTTGTTTCCCAATCGTGAATCCCCCAACGGGCTCTGCACGTCAGACGCGGTCGCTGGCTGTTTGTTGACTGACACCTCAAACGCTACGGGGAAGCTGTAACACCTTACACAGCTTCTACCCGCCCTGCCCCGCACCAATTCAGGCCAAGGAGTGCCCGCCGAGACCCCCGTTCTGCGGCCTGCGGCCGAGGACACGAGGAGGGACGAGACGCGACCTCTGCCCTCTAGGAGTGCTGCGATCCACCCAGGGAGAGGGAGAGGGCGAGCCCGCCCAAGCACACGCTCGAGACGCAACGGACACACGCAGGGCTCCCCGGGAGCACCGACCTCCTCCCACCAAGGCCTCCCCCACCCCCACCAACCCCAAGTCCCAGTCCCAGGGTCCCGTGCTTCCAGGGGCCCTTCCGGGTATAACCCCAGCTCACCCTGCAGCTCTCCGGTGCAGGGCCTCTGTCCCTCACCGAAACTGTGACTCTGCTCGGCTGGGTCCCCGGGGGCACGCCTGGCTTCCCGCCACACCGTGAGCTGCAGGAGCTCAGGGACCCGCCTGTCCTCTGCGCACTGTGTCCTGACGGTCGCCGCCAAGGAGGCGCTCAGGGCCTGCTGAGCAGGTCTGCGGGCCCCGAACGCACGGGGCGGTGTCCAGACTGGACGAGGTCGCGCACGTTACCTGCTCACCCCAGTCAGCGTTAGCTGGCGTTGCTCCCGTGAGCGTGACGGCGGCCACCAAGTGCGTGTCTCTACTTCAGAGACTGACCTGTATCACAGACAGGAGCCTCCCTCCTTACACTCGCACCTCACACTGTGCCTGCCGGCGTGAGGCTCTCCTGTGGGCGTTTCTCTGGGAGAACGGACCCGTCTGGGGCCCCAGGGGAGGTGTCACCTCCTGGCACCGGGCAGCGTCTCGGAGGCCGTGCACGGACGTGGCTCAGGGGCCCAGCGACCGAGGCTGGCCTCCTGTGCCCACACTTGCCCGTCAGTGCCACCGACTGGAACCCCCTTAAGGTGACGCTGCCGTGCCCTGGGTGTGGGCCTCACGCCTGCCCGCGGGTTCTGGCTGCAGCCACACCTCGGGAGAGGCGTGCCGCCAGCACCAGGCTGTGTGCGTGCCTCTCCTGGGGGCGGAACGGACGCTGCCGACCAACACCGGCTTGCAGAACTTGCAGAACTCAAAACCCACCTTCCTCCTCGACGGGGAACACCTACCTTTAAAGAAACATAGCTTGCTTTTAGTGCTAAGGGTTCCTCTCCGTGGCGGCAGCTGAGGTGGGAGGTGCAGAGGCAAACACCACCTTGGGGACCCAGGAGAACAGGGAGAGGCCCCCCCCCCCGGGGCTGCTGCGCCCCAGCTGCCCGCCGCCCCGGGAGAGGGCGGGTGTGAGCGGCCCCCACCAAGTCCAACAGGAGAACTCCCGACACACGAGAACACGCGACTAAATCAATTCGTTGTTCCAGAAATTCTAGACATTCTTTCAGAATGCTAGATAAGCGAGGTCTTTCCAAAAGCATTCTGTCTAATTTCTGTGCACTTGGGCAGCGGGCGCGATTGTTCTGCGGACCCCCAGTGTGAACCGACTCCCTCCTCCTGCGTCCCCCCACCCCACACCATCTCTCCCGGCTCT